TTAGAGAGAGAGTATTATTAAAATTGTTGAGAGAGAAGGTATTCTTAAACTTTTAGAGGGAAACTATTATAAATTTTAGAAAGAGAAACGGCCATAAAAAAATTTAGAGAGAAAAATGTCTTGTTTTTTTGAGAGAAATTATCTCGAAATTTGAGTTTTAGAGAGAAACTATTTCGAATTTTGAATTTGAGAAAGAAAAAATATATTAAAATTTTTGATATAGAAATCATATCAAAGTTTAGAGAGAGAAACTACCTAAATTTTTTTTAGAGAGAAACTATCTTAAAATTTTTGGAGAGGGAAACTATCGCAATTTATGTTTTAGAGAGAAAAAGTATATTAAAATTTTCTAGTGATAAACTATATCTAATTTTAAATAGAGAAAGTACATCAAATTTTTAGAGAGAAAAACTATCTCAAAATTTTTTAGAGTGAAAGTATCTCAATTTTTAAACTTTAGAGAGAGAAAGTATATCAAAGTCTAGAGAGAGACACCATATCAAATTTTAAAGAGCAACTATTTCAAAATTTTAGAGGGAGAAACTATCTCAACCTTGAAGTTTTAGAGAGCATCTTAAAATTTAAGAGAGTAACTATGTCAAATTTTAAAGAGAGAAAGCACATAATTTTTTTTGGAAAAAGAAACTATCACTTAAGTTTTAGATAGAAATTATCTCATAATTTAGCTTTTAGAAAGAGAAAGTATATTAAAATTTGAGAGAATAACTATATCATATTTTAGAGATAGAAACTACTTAAAAAAATGTTCAGAGAGAAACTATCTCAAAATTATTGAAACGGGGAACTATCTCAAGTTTTAAGTTTTAGAGAGAGAATTTTAAAATTTTAGAAAGAGAAACTAAATTAAATTTTATAGAGTAAAGCACTTAAAAATTTTAGAGAGAGAAGTTATCTCAAAAATTTTAGATTGACAATTTCAAATTTTAAATTTTGGATAGAAAGTATATTAAATGTTAGAGAGACATATCATATCAAATTTTAGAGAGAGAAACTATCTTAAAATTTTTATAGATATACTATCTTAAATTTCGAGTTTTAGAGAGAGAAAATATATAAAAATTTTAGATAGAGAGAAGTTGTATCAAGTTTTGCTACCGAATAATGGATATAAAAGTGATGGCAAGGAATCCATGAATTTCGTATGGTTTATCCAAAGAAGCGATTTGAGGAATCCACGACAAATATCGTTAGATATTGGAAATCTATAGATTTCTTTGGATTTCAAATATCTAAGATTCCTAATTTCCTCTTATGCCTTAATAATTGTTTTTGGGTAAAATTTGAAATTTTGAAACTGACACGTCTGAGAGCCCGAGGGATTTCGAGTTTTCAGACTTCCTCCCATGCTGACACGACAAATATCCTCCCTTGTTGTAGACCGTAACTACTTCCACGATTTTCACTCCCACTTGCCTCAGCATGGGTCACCCTACAAAGCAAATTTGGATGGTTGCTGGAGCATCCGATTTTTCGTCTGAAAATGGCCCGAGTGTAGCCAAAGCCACCGGAAAACCCATTGTGTTTGTGAGCATAAAGGTGGTTAGTATATCAGAAAATAGGGAAGTAGCAATTGTTTTGGAGGGAAAAGGCATGGCAGGTGGAGAGAAGCTGCTAAACTGTTTGCAGGGTGAGATTGGTGTTGGTGAGGAGGCTGCTTTGGCTGCAGAGGCTGCAAATGCTGCCCTGAGAAACCTGCTAATAAAGAGGCAGTATCCCGTGGAAAAGCGAGAGCTTAGGAAAAGGAATCGGAATGATAATAAGGTCAAGAAGCGTTGAGAGAGAGAGAGACTTTTTGGTTTTTGCTGCCAACTTCTCAATTTAGAAAGATTTTCAGGTAAGATAGGTGACAGCATTGGTATTTTCAATAGGTTTCTCCTACCGCCATAGCAGTTCACCATGTATGCATTATGTTCTGTAAACCATTTTGTTGCCGAGTGTAGCTTTTTATTCAGACTTAAAGATTGAGAAACAATCAATCGGTTGGAGAGCCTTAAGCTTTGGCTGTTATTGGATACAACTAATTGCTTTATTATATTTCGTTTGGTGGAGGACTGCACCACTTGAAATTTGTATTTAATAACGTTTTCCCTGATTTCAGTTTTATTTTAGACCGAGAAAGTGGTGGATAAATAAATATATATTGTATTAGTATCTTTCTCTCTCACACACACACAATGTGCCAATGTTAAATATATTAGTAATGTATTAATTAGATTGTTAATCTGTTGTGGAACGGATGTGTAGCACTGTATTGACATAATCTAGATGATTTATAAATAGCAAATATGGGTTTTTAAGTAGCATGCTTTTGTGATTGTGCAATTATTCATTCAAATCATCCACTATCTACTGGAAAAGAGCAGTTAGCAGAATTTTCATTGTTCTCTTTCTAGATTAAGAAAAATTAATCAAAGAGGCTGCTTATATGCATGTGTTTTTGTCTTCAGGTTATTTTCTAAGGAAACCTTGCTATGTGGGAAAATTTTATATGCGAGCCCTCTCAGATGTTTGATCTCATTGGATGGCTTCAATTAAATGTCATACATAAGCACTATTTTATATTTAAAGGAAAAAATTTATATAACGATGCTACCATATAATGTAGAACTATGGATGCCCTTCAAAAATCTACAGGTGCCCCCCAAAAATCGATTGGAAAAAGTAGTTTTAATGTTGAAAAACCTTTTGATTGATCATCTTGATATTGAGATGTATCACTATGAAAAATAAAAAGATTTTAAATCTTAGAAATAGTGTATTTTACAACATATTATCTATACCGTCAATTTTCAAGATTTTCATATGTTTAGATATCTATTTGATTTTAACCATTTTTGAAATTTTAAATTTTATAATTAGATATAAAATTGGATTTTGAGATAATCCTAGTGACATTTTATATCAAAATTATAGACCATGACAAAATTTGAAGGCGCACTTGACCTCTACACCTACGGAAGCATCTGTATGCAAACTGCACCCATATTTAAATTGTTTCTACATATCATATTGACACAAATTTGGGGGCATTCATCCGTGCCTAGAAAAAATATGTAAAGAATGTTTTCAATACTTTGAATTGTAAAATTCTCTCTCAAAAAAAAGAATGTTTTAAATAAAATAAAACGAGCAAGCTACCCTGAAAGTTTTAATGGTAATTTGGCCATTTTATATTGCCAAGATATTTTTTTATATTATTTTTAAGAAAACTTTTGTATAAGGGGTTAATCTTATACTGTAAAAGTAAGGTGCACCTGAAAAACCCCTTGAAAAATGTTGTTTTGTCTCTATAAAATTCTCTATTTGAGGATATTGACCTCGATATATATAGATTTGACAGAAAAAAACATGAATTTTAAAAATCTAAAAAGTAGTATATCTTGTAACACATTATCTAGACCGACAAATTTTAAAATTTCATGTGCTCTTAGGTCTGCTAGATTCATTTTTGGAGCTTTTAATTTCATTCTAGGGGTGAATAATAGAGTTTTAAGCCATGATAAGAGTTTTAGCCCTAAAATACATCTTTTAATGAGATTTTGGGTTCATGTGGCTTTTAAAAGCCTTATGAGTGTGTAATGAAAAATATTTACTATACAGGAACATAAATTCAGTGGGAGTGTGGTCCCTCGAAGACCATACTAAGTAAATGATATTTACGAATAACGGACTATGCTTGACAATCTAGGCCAGTCGGTTGGAAAACTCAAGGAACCTGGGCATAAAAAATAAACCGAGAAAGGTTTTTGGGTTAGTCCTTGATGAGGTCGGAGGTTATGCCTAGATGAGTGAGCCGAGGGACTGTGTGACCCTTGTGTGTGATGGTAGGCCTACAGAGACGGGCGCCAAAACCTCATCCATGTTCCATCATACGACATGTATATAAATTGATCATTCGGGAAAGCTTGATATCCACATTTGGGTGAAGAAAATGCATGTGCGAGAGATACCTCTATGCGCCATAGAGTTGTGGTCGCATCAGGTCATGGTGACTTTGACTTGTCTCTAGGGGAGGACCTGTAATCCACAAACTGGGATTGCGACTCCTTGGCTCGTCGCTCAGACTTTGGTGACCTGCTTATGAGCCCCTGCTTGGACTGTGGGTCATGGGAAATACTGGGTCGGTTCGATAAAACAAGTGTGGTCTGTAGTCCACAGTTGAAGGTGAAGTACCCCGTGATCGTTGATTGAATTCCTGAACCATATGGATCCACTTTCCATCATATTAATTTAAGTGTGTTGATTTTATTATTAAATTATTTTAGATTTATTATTTGAATTTTGTTAAGTCATTTGATATTTTAGGACTTATAAAAATGAAGTTATTAATTTACAAAGTTATAATGTTTTAAAATTTATTTTTAAAATATTTATTAAAAAAAAATACATAGGGGCCATAGTGTACATGGGCCCACCATGTGGGTATTAGGTGGGGCCCCACATACCATACATGGGTGGCACGCCCCACCCTTGGATACCTTATCTTGTTTTTGTCTTCAAGTTTGTTAAAAATGGTAACTACATCTTGTAGCATGTGGTCAAATGTTGATAAGAAAATATTGACCATATCTTATTTTGATTATTGAAGGAATATCTTGACTTGATATAATTGAATTATTCTTGTGAAAAATATGAGATGGAATATGCAATTTATGGTATGCACTATATCTTTAATGGATTTAATTTATTTAAATATATTGATGGGAAAATGATTTAAAGAAAAGGGATAATGGTTCACTTCCATAATGTTGATGGCCCCTCTATAGAATTGATGGCTCATATCTCTCACCCCTCAAGTCACATTGATCAACGGTCCATACTTTATCTCAAAAAAGAAGCAAATTATGCAAACTCTAGACTTAAATTTCACTATAAATAGGGGTGCTCTCCCCCTATCTCAACACGCCCCTCTCGCTCCCTACTCTCTTATTTTCTCTCTCTACTCTCTCTCTCTCTCTCTCCTAAAAGGGACCCTAAGGGGTATGGCCAACATAGAGACTCTCTCTCTCTCGCATAATCTAATCTAAGGGTTGAGAAATTAAGTTTGAGTCTAATTATTTTGAAGTTAGGGTTTTGTAGAGATTTAAGGGTCGTTACCTAGTTTGGCCGAAATTAGCTTTCTTGGTTCGAGATTGAAGCTAGATCGCTGATCCCACGCCATTGGATGTGGTGACTCGATATGGGGTCTAAAAAGCCCGACTGAGATAATCTCCGGCATCTTTTCTTTTAATCGTTTGTTATTTTATTTTATATTCTTAAGCACAGTATTAGGTTGTATGAATAACATCAAGTAGTTGAGATTTATTTTATTGATGTGTTATTTATTTTTTAGAATTTCTATTGTTTGTAATAAGACCACCTGTGAGTGATCTTGTTGCCAAAAGTATAAGGGGTGATTATTATTAAAAAATAAATAAATAAAATTGTATTTCCCCGGTATAAGATTACATAGGTCTTTCTTTTATTGATATCCGTGCTAGCTTTACTTGATTGCCATTAGGAGTCCTTTTTTTGTTTTTTTTTTTTTTTGAGAATATAAAATAATAGCTGCTCGTACCTTCATCTCTGAAAACCGAAAGGTTTGATGGGACCAACTTTGCTTCATGGAAAAAAAAAATCAAATTTGTGCTTTATAAAGAAAACTTGTATAAGATACTCTTTGAAGATCGACCTCATCATCCAACTGATGACTCATATCAAATAATCAAAGATGAGTACGGCATCTGGAAGAGGAGGAACTTGAGATGCAAACACATTCTTTTATGTGTCATGACTGACTCGTATGCTTCTGAGTACGAGTCAATCTATACTGCAAGTGAGATTTTTGATAAACTTGAAAGAGAGTATGCTGAACCCTCTCTCATGAAGCTAACTATGGCTTGAGAATGTAAAATGATTTAAAAATGATAGAAGGTACCAAGTTTGCAGATCATGTGCACGTGTTTCGTGCGCTAGTAAGAGATTTGGAAGATACAGGCATAAAGCCCAATGAATCTATGTAAGTGATTCATTGAATGAATTATCTTCCTAATTCATGAGAGACTTTCATATCTTCCATCTCTGTTAGAAGAAAGGCACTAAAATTGAAGGAACTCATCACGACCATCAAATCTGAAGAATAAAGCAAGAGTTCAAGACAAACCCCAAAGGATGCTGTGCATATGGTAAAATTTCATCCATCTTTTAAATTTAAGAAAGGAAAGGGAAGAAATACTTTTGAGAAGAAAATATATTTCAAAAGAAGAGATTTTGGAAATAAGGGAGTAAAGAGAGAGACTCGAACTTGTTTCATTTGCAATAAGGTGGGTCACATAACCAATAATTGTCGGTCCAAAAAATCTGGTGGAACTAACAAGGAATTGACATGTGTGGTTTTCGAGTCCATGCTAACTGACCCCAAGGAAGCTTCTTGGTGTCTTGACTTGGGAGCTACGGCTCATGTCACAATTACCAAAGAAGGTTACCGTTCTTTCACTCCCATGGGGCTAGGACATCAGTATATTTATATGAGAGGAAATCAGAAAACTAATGTACTTGAAGTTGGAGATTTTGAGAAGAAACTAAAGAGTGGGAGCACATTGATCTTAAAACAAGCACTATATGCTAATGATATGAGGAAGTGCTTGGTTTCGGTTCCTAAGATGTCTATTGCTGGATTCATAACCACTTTTATTGGGGAGAAAGTGGTGGTCAAGAAGGGGAAAGATGTGATCATGACTGGACGACTTGTAGACAGACTAACGTTGCTTATGTTTCGTCCCCTAATGAATCAGATGCTACCCTATGGCATATAAGGTTATGACACATTAATATCAAACGAATGGAAAGATTAAAAAGGAATGAGATTCTTCATAATTATAAGAGAGATTTATCGAAAGTGTGCAAGTCTTGTGTGCAAGGAAAACTAATAAAGAAAAATACTACCAAGGCAAAAAAAGCTACTAGCGTATTGAAAATTATTCATAGTGACATATGTGGACCTATGAATGTGACCACCAAAAGTGAAAAAAGATATTTTATCTCTTTTATAGATGATCACTCTCGATATGACCATGTGTACCTTATTCATGTAAAATCAGAAGCCCTAGAAAAATTCAAAGAATATAAAGCCCCA